AATGATATGCATGTTTTTGCAGATGGTTTATGAATATATAAAATCATCATTGTGATGTTTTTTAAATAGAATACCTCTTTGGGTCTTCTATGGCTGAAAGCTAATTTAATGACTTTCTTTAGGCCCGATCCGAACTTCTGGCAGGTGCAACTGTAAGATCTGTAACAAGTAGAAAGAAGATATGAGATGATATGAGTCTTATTTAAATAGAAAACCTTATTGGGTTTCTTATGGATAGAAGATCTTTCATTTTGTGAAATATAGAAGGTTTCCAATTAATCTTGATTGTTTTCTGTATTAAGAAAATCTCTTTAAGAGCTTCTTTAGATTTCATATAGTCTATATAGTTGTGGGTACTCAATATATTTATGAAGTCTAGTACCCGTGCACATTTTTTTATAGAGGTCTTTATAAAATACTTTTTAAAGTCTGTAGGAGTGCCATTAATAGTTCGCTCCCGTTCTTTTCATAGGTAACAAGAAATTAAAGTTATCTCCCCGGTAAATTTAAATCGGCTACAAACGAAACTATCCATTCAAGACCACAGCTAAGGCTTGTGATACTTCTGCGATAACTTTTTGTCAAACCCTTATTTCAGCGTAACCTTGTCAATCACAAACTGATAAGAAATTATCAAGTTAATTATTTTCTAGATAAGAAATTATAAATTGCTTAAATTGACAAAAATAAACTTTGATAGATTTTGTAGCGAATTAATAGTAATAGCTTTTCCTCATATTTGTTTACATCTGTTACGAATCCACTTGGATATATTTGAAGTTTTCTGTAAAGCTAAAAATATTTCTATGTAATACATTTTGGAACTTTACAACAAGTCTTTCAAAATATTTCTGTAGAATTGTTTTATATTAATTCTCACCATAAATAAATACTAAAAATTTGATCAATTGTATTACTTCATTGAAGTATAAATTTTTTGCTCTTTATGTGTATTTACATTTTTTACACATTTTATAAAGTTCGAATAATGTGACTGATCCCAACAGTTATAAAATTAGTTATAGACAAAATAATGTATAAAAATGCAATACCAGCCCTAAACAATAAAATAAAAAACGTAAACAAAACAATAAAAATTAAAAAAAAAAATAAGTAAATGTAACTTAAAAAAAAGAAAAACAAAAATGAAAAAGGGTCTCAATGTGATGAAGAATGAATTTCTGTATAATTTAAAATTAATTATTATTTTTAGTTTTGTGTTTTTTTTTTTAATTTCAAATACTATAATAGTTTTTTTTTTTAATTAATATAACAATTTCTTGAATAATGAATTAAGATTTTGTGTTTTTTCTTTTAGTTTGTTGATAAGAAATCAAAAATATAAAGCGATAGAAATTACCACAAAAATCACAAAACAGAAAACAATAAACACAAACAAAACCTCAGACTACAAACAAACATAAACAAATAATTTAAAAACAAAACTGAAATCGAATTGTTAGTACCTTTTCCTCATTACAAAACAAACCAAACAACAAAAAAACTAATGCTTCCTTTGACAATTCTTCTTCATTCTATAAGATAACACAAATTACTATTAATCTCTAATTTTGACACCCTATGAAAGAAAAATACAAAAATCCCCAGGGGTATTTAGGGTGGCAAATTCTATATTGTGATTATGATTAATTGTATATTTTTAAAATTGATTTAACTCCTGATTTTTTCTGTATGTATTCCAGATAGATGATTTTTATGTTCCATTAAAATAATTTAAACTTTAAATTTTGTGAGAGTGTACATTTTTCCCCATTTGATATTAATTTTTAAGTACAGATGCAACCCAAATACAATGGAAACCAAAATCAATTCAAAACCTACAACTCCAACTCACTAAACAGATGAATTTATACGTTATTAACAAACAAAACAACAATGTTGTCCTTCTTTAGTGTTATATCTGTATATTAAATTATTATTATTACTTTCTGGTTTTAGTTTAAAACGAAATCAAACGAAATTCTGTTCTCTTTATATATACGAAAAAAAAACATACCAACCTACATACATAATCGAAAGAAAGATATAATATATAGTATTCCATTTTATTGTGCGATATCATGGACTTTCTCCTTCTCTTAGTTTATAAAACTTTTTTTTCTTTTTTGGACGTATGGACGGACGTTCCTTAAAAAGAATTTTCTATATACATACATGTATGCATATTTTATATTTTAGTTCTTTTTTTAAAAAGTTCCAAATAAATTTTGAATGTATTGTATCATGTAATAACTAAATAAAAAAATAAAAACAAAAAAATGAAAGAAAAAACGACAAAAAGAAAATAAAAATTATCTCTAAATAATTAAAATACAATTTGGTATTATTTATAATTTAAGCTAAGCTGTCGTGGTCTGGACTGAAAATCGTTTACATAAATTAGCCTCAATTTTAAAATTAAATAGAATAAATAAATTAATAGGATATCAGACATGTTATTCAGACATGTCACAGAAACGAATTCCGGTCGAAAGTGGAATTAATTATTTTCGGAATGCAACAACGTTTATTTGTGGTCCGAAGCATCTCATAAATTCCTCCGATGTATTTTCTCAGTATTCTCAATTATAGAAGCAATGATACACCCGACATAAAAATTAACTTTCTTCCACACAAAAAAAGTTCTTTAAACATAATGTTTTTAATTGTTTTATTTCTTTCATTTTCATATTTACATAATGTGATTTTCGTAATTTACCAACTCGATTGAAATCTGAAAAAACTAAAACAAAAACGATCGATTTTAAATTACGTAATTGAATACATTGTATTCGGAATTTTTGACATGTCTGTATGTTAGGTTTTTGATACGCAGCTGCTGTAGTTCACGTTTTTCAGAATGATAGTAGAAGGGAATGGCATAGAGATGGTGCAGTAATATGCAGAAAATGTTGAAGTTTAAACTCCCAATAGCCCAAAGTTATTCCATAATTACTTAGCCATTTAGAAAATTTGAGCAGGGCCTTAATTCTTGTTCCACGAAAATGTGAAATGAAATGTCAAATGAACAATTTTATAAAGGAAATATTTTTCATATTTTCATAGTACAAGAATCCAGCCCCAGGGCCGTAGTATCTATGCATAAAAGAGATTGTGATTCAAATGAACGCAGCTGTCTATGCCTCCAATGCGGCAGTAGCCAGTGTTTTTCAAGAGAGATTTGTAGTCTTAACCATCATGGATTTTATTGGTAATGACTTGAGTTGAGTGAGCCGGACAACGTTTCAAAACATTTAGTGTAGCACATATTTCGGCTGGGAGTACATTACAGTTATCGATGAGCTTGTATCCTGTATTATCCTACATCTTTGAAGAAAGTCAAACTTTTATTTTCAATTTGCCCTCGGTTAAAAAGAAAATGATTTTTAATCAGGAATGAGCCGATAAATTTCTTATTCATTTCTCTCTCTTGAGAGAAATATTTCGATATTTCGTGGAGGATGTAGAAGGTGTGGTATGTTCTGTCGGTTCTTTATACTTTAAATTTGTGTTGGTGAAAATATTGAGATGTACGAAATTTGAAGACAATCGGACTCATATTTCACATTTTATAACAGTTATAATTTTTCTAAAATTTGATCTTTCGTGGGGGTGGTAATTGAAGGAGTTTGTCAATTTGTACATTTTCGTACCTGACATAGCACTGAGAAAAATATTAGGATTTTCAAAGTTTGCACAATGATGATTCTTTCTTGTTCTATGAGATAAAATATTTACTGTAAAAATGTTGGGGAGGTACCAGAAGGAGTGGACTGATATTGACCATCTCTGTACTCGATCTAAGTTTGATAATATTACGATGTAGCAAGTTCGAACCAAATCAGATACTATCTTCGGGAGTTATGGTGCGCACCAGCCAGCCAGACAAACCAACGTACGGACGGTCACCACTATCTAGTGGGACTCCAAATGTACGAAACTATGATTAGTTTAAACCCGTTAATTCGAAGAGGCACATTTTGGCCGTATCAATTAATATATACCCTCTGTAGCCATTCGGCTATGGCGAGAATTAAACGAAATCCGCCACCCTCCATCTTCCTTACGATCAGTGGGAATGAGATAGTTATTTTCAAATTTCAAGCTTCAAGGTCATGTAAAAGAAGATTGGTGCTTCAATGGTGAATGCATCATTTCATGAGTCCAGATATCTAAACAGAGAATTCTACCATCGAATTGTGATCTTTCACTCATAGCAAATCTTTTAGAAGCCCTGATATAAAAATATAACTTATGTTTTTTAAGTTTTGCCTTGTTAAGGTGAATCACTTATGTTTATGATTTATGTGTTTATTTCTCTTTCGAGACGAGCTTAATGATCTAAAATTGGCAGTGAAAAGGAAAGCTAGATATGCAATATCACACCCAGACCACTAAGTGACGCGTTTCGCCGTTAATTAAGCGGCCCATCTGGCATATTTGGTGTGGATGATGGCTTGCAAGTGACGTTCTTTGGAAAGTTGTATTTATTTCGAACTTATTGCAATTCGACTCAAGTTATATTAGAAAATCTTTTTCGCAGCATTTTTTGTTTAATTGCAACTTGACGCATAACTCGAGCAACTAAAGATAGTCGCTTCACATAATAAATAGACTACGCCCAGAGGCTCGAATAATCTTTACCTTAAACAACACATGTGCACACTAAAAAGCTAAACTAAGTAAACATTAACTTACACGTCCATGGTTCGTTTTAATCCTTTACCATTCTGCTTTGGTCTGGATTTACGAACTCAGCGAAACCCAATGGGGTTACAACGTTTATCTGTCTTGCCATACCATTCAATCACCCGAATAGGCCAACAAATTCTTACAAAACGTTTTGGGCGTTGATTTTCACGTTTCTTTTAATCGAATTTTTCATTTTCATCGTAATAAAATGATACAATATTAAATACGAAGAATATGCCATCGAATTTCATAGATACGATGCAGCTTGGATGTATTCCACACCCTTTAATAAGCACAAAAACAACGAATTTTATTCTTTGAAATACAGCACTCTGACATTTATTGTATTCTTCACAAGCTTTGTACTTAAAGTACCGTAAAAATTATATTATATGTATTTATTTACAATAAAAAACATTATTATTATATAACAATAACTCGGGTAAAATAATCAAGCTGTATAAATTGTCAAATATTCTAATTTTTAAAGCACATATTTTGAATAATATCAAATTAAGGTGTGGGAAAATAACACCTTAAAATCCATTAAAACTTTCAATAAAAAAATTCAATATTCGTAAATACCATGAGTGAAATACATACAAAGTGTATGTAATGTAAACACATGCGAACAGAATATATTTCGAGACTAGACCTAAGAGCTAAAGGAAAATTGTTACAAAATAACCAAAAGAAATACTAGAAGCCTTAGCACTATGACCCTACTCTAATTATACATTTATATAGAAAGAGAAATGAAAAGTTAACCCTCTGAACTGTTAATATTTAAGTCAAAAACATATTGATAGAGAGAGCGAACTTAGATAATACGTCTCAAAAAATTTTCATTTAAATTTTGTTCTAATTTTTCTGGATCTGTGACAGGCATACGACACACCTTGTCATGACATATGTACACCGTGGGCTTGCCATTGATCATTTTGAATTTTTCTTGTACCCGTTGATTGTATTCATGTCGCGAGTTTTGAGGATCAACATGTACGATAATCATGCCAGGTATATAGTATTTACGACAAATTTCCACAAAACGTTTTGTTGTCTCAGAATCTGGGCCAACGACGGCTACCAAATCGAGTCCATTTTCATACAGCAAAAGCCCCGACAACATTTCGGGTAAGGCATAACCAAAGGGTTGTTGATCCGCAAAGAATTCAAAGAGACTTGCAGCACGTTTACTGTAACTTTCGTCATCCATATAGTGGGAGAGCAATATAAGATTACGGGCTGATACACTATTGCCACAGGGTTCGGCACCATCATGATCTGGAAATAAAAGTGGTAACGGTAAATTTTCAAGTTCTATTAGTTATGTCTGCACACACACTCAAACTATGATAGGTATGAGACATTTTTTGTGGGTGTAACAAGGACTGCACCGATATAGGAAAATTCTTAGCTTCCTTTGAGATTTGTTATATTTTAATCTGTTATCAATTGCGAGTCTTTAATATCAAATTTAAAAAATGTTGCTAAAATCGTCAAAATACCAAATATTGGTAGGGAGACCGTGAACCAATATGGATAATGTTCTGAATCCATTACGAAGAACAAAAAGCGAATTTGTAACAATTCCGTAGAAAATATGAATCATCAAAATGCCGAATATCTGGAGGTTCCGTTAAATGGGAGCTATAAGAAAACTTGGACTGTTATATTTCATTTGCAATACCAATCAGAAAACTATTATGACAAATTTCTGGTATCTTGAATTCAATAGATAGGCCATACAGACAGTTATCGTTAAACCGATTTAGAATTGTACGCTGATCGTATAGGATCTCCAACGAGCATTTGGAGGTGTTACGAACGGAATAAAATTAAAAAAAATTAATATAGCCTCCTTTTAATGATGAACTTTATTAAAATCTAGTTGATTCTGCAACCTGAAAACAGTTCATATATTCTCAAACGTGAATAATTTATTAACAAACTTTTTGGTATGGTAATGTATTTAGAAACGAATGCAACTTTTATAAGAATGAAATGAGTTGGAATAATTTATTCATGGAAGGGGCAAAAAAAAAAGACTTCAATTTTAACCAACTTACCATCCTTTAGGCGAATCACAACATTTGGTGAATTGGCTTTGGAATAGAAGTAAGCACCGTTATCAGCATCCCAAAATAGAGTGTCTTGAACTTCTTGCAATTCTCTGGCCCAATCCAAGGCGAAGCCATCTAATGTAGCCTTATAATAATCCAAAAGGCCTCTTATAAGGAAAGCATAATCATCTAAGAAGCCATCAATGCGTTCACCCCTTAAAAAATCATAATTAAATATCTCATCAAGTTTTCTCTTTAATACTCACTCTAAATTTTCTTGTAAAGTAGCGTCATTAGTGGCCACTCCATAACAGGAACGTCGCAGCAATTTCTTTTCTTTATCCCACAGATGTTCATACATAAATTTGACCAATTTCTTTGCTGTTGCAATATACATTGGTCGCTTGTCACCGCCACAATTGCCCAGCTTTGAAAGACCGCTTAGCACCAAACCATTCCATGAACAAATAATTTTCGTATCTAAATGAGGACGTGGTCTCAACTTACGTATTTCATTGAGAACTTCATTAGTAATGCGTGTTATTTGCTTCAATTGTGGCCGTTCAATTGAAAATTTCTGACATATTTCTTCATCTGTTTGGCGTATTATTAAAATATTTTTACCATTTAAATGGCCATGGGGATCACTTGCCGGCTCCACGTTGCCTGTGGGTTTTAGATCATAATACTTCGAATATATATCAAATATTTTCTCTGCATCCATTGGTAAATCTTCATATTTATCTTTATTATCATTTATGGCTCTCTTAACTTCATCATAGGTCCAAGCATAAAAAGCGCCTTCAATTTTTTTGCTATCCTCTGCCTTGGGCAAAGAATCAGCATCTTCCCCAGCATAAAAACCACCGCCAGGATGTTGTAAATCTGTTGTCAAGTAACGGTAAATACCATCAGCATACTCTAAAAGGGGCTCTTCGCGCGTTAATTTATACGCATTTCCATAGGCGGACATTAATTGACCCTGATCGTAGAGCATTTTTTCAAAATGGGGTACATGCCATTTGCGATCCACCGAATAGCGTGCAAACCCACCAAAAACATGATCATGTATACCGCCACGGCCAATGTTGTGCAGAGTTTTTATGGCCATATCCAGAGTGTCAATATCTTTGGTTACAATATAGGCATGAAAGAGGAAATTCAATCGAGATACTTCTGGAAACTTGGGATGAGAACCAAAACCACCGAATTCTGTATCATGACGCTGCTTAAAAATGCGCATGGCTTCCTGCAACTTGGCATCTGCACTGCCTGGTTCAAAAACAATTTCTGTAGTTTTTTCACACAACGATTTCTGTATGGCAGCAATTATTTCATTTCCTGCCGCCTTCAACTGTTCTTCATTGTCAGCCCATTTGGAAGCGATGGCTTTCAGCACCGTTTTGAATGATGGCATACCCCAACTGAAAAAAAGGAATAACTCCATAGGTCAATTATAAATAAAAAAGGAATCTTCAGCTCCGGATTTATAAGTGCAATGAAAGTCCTAATCGTGGACGAATTACTATATATGTCGATCTATAGTCGAGTTGGACAAAATAATTAAAATTTATTTTGTTTTGGACTGTAATATTGCATAAAAGAGAGTGTAAACTAATAGGTTTTGGGTCTGACTCACACGATATGTGGCAGTTTACAGAAACAACACAGATAATCATTTTACCATGACCTTCAAGTCATTTCAGAAATATCTGATATAAGGCTATTTGTTGGTATCATTCACTGCAGAATTGGATCATTACCATAAAAGCTTTTTATCAAGAGCCTTAAAAGTATTGAGTTATTCGGAACTTTGGCCCTGGAGCAAATCTCGAAAGAATTTCTTCTGTCTCAGAGAAGGGGCCTCAGATAGGGCCCTAGCATGGCAATGGAATTATATTAAAACATGCCAGTAACCAAACTGGTTTGACGGCGGACATGGAAAAAAGCTAAAAAAGTTGTAATAGGGGTTGCTGTGGGAATCACTGCCCAATATCAACATCCTGCATTGTAACTTCCTCATATGACAATCTCTTTCCAATAAATTCATTCCAATCTCCAATTTTTACTAGCTTTTATCTTTCACTCACCGATCATTTGGTGGAAAATATGTACCCGCTGTTATGGGTGCCAAATCTGGTGTCAACCAAACACTCATTGGCCAGCCACCGCTGCCGTTCATCATTAACACAAACTGCATATAGATTCGATCAATATCCGGTCTCTCTTCACGATCCACTTTGATATTGATGAAATTTTCATTCATTATAGCTGCTACTTCTTCGTTTTCAAACGATTCATGTTCCATGACATGACACCAGTGACATGTCGAATAGCCCACCGACAAGAAAATCATTTTATTTTCAGCTTTTGCCTTTTCAATTGCTTCATCGCCCCAGGGATACCAATCGACGGGATTGTGGGCATGTTGTAAAAGATATGGGGACTTTTCTTGGGCCAACCGATTAGTAAATTTGTGACTACCACCACTTCCCGCCGCTGTACACAGATTTCTGGTAGATACTGGTGTGCTGGTATTGGGTGTGGATCCCGTCGACATTGTACGGTGACGGGGTGTTAAACGTGTTAGTAGCCTAAAACGAAATTAAAAACGTTTTAGAAGATTCATTAAGAGAGTGTTCGCGGTGTTTTTTAAATGCAGGTGGCTGGCTATATTGTGTGTTGCTTGCCTGCGGTCTGCTTTATTGTTGGTGTCTCGTGTTTTTGTAATATGAACTTACGTAAACTGTGTCTGTGACTTGCTGCGTTTTAACGTCGCAGCCCTTGTATTTGTTGTATTAGTCTGAGATGCTGTGACCGCTGATGCTGCTGGAAATGTCGTAAGACTGCGACGTGACGTTGAGCTCGTTCTACCTGCTGCTGTTGTTCCCTCCGCAAAGACACAACAACCACTGCCACTGTTCTTAGGATTTTGATTGAATACCAGAGGAGGCGTTAAGCTTTTCGTTTTTGTTTGTCGTACGAGTGTCGTTGATCGATATATAGTTTTCAACATAGCAAAGCTTATTGATTATTCTCCTTCCCGCAAACGGAAGTATCCGCCGCTGCCAGTGAATTGGAAATTAGATCAATTAATCCAATCGGTCACGTCAATGCTTCTTATCCATCGATATTTGATAGGGCAAAGAACAAACACAGAACGTAAACACCACTATTTGCACGATGACGATGATCACTACCACCTGTGCTTATGCTTATGTTGTGTGTGCGTGCCTGAGTGAGTGCGCCCAAGACCCCTTCCTTCTCCAATCGCAAGAATGTTGTCTAAGGGCCTGATTTTCTAGGTCTAGTCGGCGATAACAACGCGATAAACAAAATATGACGACTACTGCGACAAATGAGTTGGGATTTGTGTGTGAGGTAACAGGTCAGCCAATTACTGTGTTTTGTTGCTGCTGCTCTTATTTACTGTTTATTAGTGGGTTTGTGTAATCATTTGCAGAAATTAAAAAACTGGTTCATCACATTTCAGCAAAAGCAGACAATTAATTATTGTTTCTCCTCGTTTTGTATTTAAGAAGATATTTTTGTTGATTTCACGATAAGACCAAAAAACACATCCGACGATGAACACGACCGAAAATTAAATTTGAGAAACGACTAGACACGGGACGAGAGAAACGAAATTGAATTCATAATTTTTTTCTGTTTTCATTCGTCATTCGTCATGTGTTTTTGTTGTTCTTCTTTTGTTTCACAATAAGTGCTGCCAAATCAAAAAAAAAAAAAAAATGAAACCCATGGAAAGAAAATGCTGCCTTTTGGTGTTTGTAACGGTTTTTACGGAAAAGAAGAGCTGTCTCTCCTTAGAATTGTACAGATTCGTGTAGAAACAGAACCCTAATATATTAAATTCCTGGTAAGAATTGCTACAAAATTATGCTTGATGTTGTCTGTTTACTCAAAAGTCTCGTAGAAGCTAGCAAAACAAGTGTGGTGTAATAAATTAAATTATGCATAGTAGTTAATGGCAAGAGTTTTAACCTTATTTTCAAGTTCATATTTTTTTCATAGTAATAACAATTTTAGATCTAGATTTTGATCAGCGTAAAATTCTAAGACGATTTGGCCCTGTCCAAACGTCCGTCTGTCCGGTGATTGTAATCACGCTAAGGTCCAAACGAATAAAAAGGATGCTACATTTTTGAACAGATCACTCTTTTGTCTGCAGGCAGGATAAGTTCGAAGATGGGATACATCGGTCCAAGATACTGATCTGACCTCTTTGTAATGTAAATAATACAACGTGTCAGAATTGGATTATATTGACTTCTTCCTTCACATTGTATCATGGTACAATCATGGTACAATGAAGAGAAGGTAGGCCAACTTTGAAAAAATTGCAAGTATAGAGGTCTACCTGTTTGGCTTGTAATGTCAGAATTAGTATCAAAACAATACAACTTGTTGCATTTATTTTGAATAACAAAAAAATTGTTCAGAAAACATTCAAATTCGGATGTTTTCAAAATGTTTATGCATCATCGTATGCATCGACAAAATCTAGAGATATATAGAACCTGGTTTTGAAAAGAAGTGTTGACCTTTCATTCAGTTTTCACGGTTTTCGCTACCAGAACTCTAGATTTTGTCGATGCATACGTTGAAATAAACATTTTGAAAACACCCGAATTTGAATATTTTCTGAACAATTTTTTTGTTATTGAAAAGAAATCACGTACATAATCAAATAAAGATGACATATTAAGCCAAGAAAATAAAAAATTAAAATCATATGGTATCATAGCCCTACCTTGATATCATTGTACCATGGATGTATGTGATATTTTTTGGAAAATGTTGAAATGTGCTTGAGGTATCTATCACTCTGTCTAAAACTCATAATGAATACTGACATTTAAAACAGACTAATTTTAATTCAGAATAATGCCCCCATTCCATATCCATATTGGAAATTATACATTTTGGAAAAAATGTAGGAATAATTGAATAATGTATTTCATGTTCAGAAGTGTTTTTATAAGGGCAAGAATATCGCGATTTACTAAGTAGTCCACATCGGACACTTATTTCCCATTTTACGAGAACTGGCCCGGGTAGATTCTTTTTACCGTTGGTAGAAATATTGGGAAGTTCAAAACTTGAAGACATTCAGACTCTTTATTTTATATGTTAATAGTTGAACATCGTGTGCTTCGCATTTAACATTTTATATACGAATATTTGTTGGTTAAGAAACAAAAACGTAATTAACTAATGCGTAAACACACAAATAGCTTGATCTACCAACGCGTGACCATGCCAGGAACAGCTGACCATGAGAAAAGCAGGAACATGCCAAATTTAGTCCGCATACACGAAGGGGTTTTCCTTCGGATTTATTAATTGTATAGCATATGCAATATTTTGAAGTTGAGTGGCTTTTCTGTTGCAATTAGAGAATTCGAGGTAACTTCCCCATAATAATCGTATCCTCAATAAAATTGCGGTTAGCCTAATAACATTGCAAAGGCGTTGTGGGTTAATGCTTCTTAATAAAATAATTTGACAAAATTTACTTTTACACAAAATTCCGTCACACCTTCCGTATATCATTGAAATTGGAGGTACATACCGTATTTGGGCATCAAATATGTGAAATCGGCTGAGAATATATATGGGAGCTATATCCAAAACTTAACCGATTTCTAATTAATATGTCAAATTTGTTATTGCAACCAAATTCCGTCACACATTCTGAATTTCATTGGAATCGGACATATATATCGTGTTTGGTGCATAACATACAAGTAATCGGCCAAAATACATGTATGGGAGCTATACCCAGACCTCAACCGATTTTAATATAATTTGTGATTTTTTTCTTATTTTTGATACCAAATTTCATCTCTCTGTCCGAATTTCATTGGATTCGGAGATACATTTCGCGTTGGGTGCATCAAATATGTAAAATCAGCTGAAAATATATATGGGAGTTTCATTGGAATCGAACATACACGATTGTGTTTGGTGCATCAAACAAGTGAAATCGGTCGAAAATATATATGGGAGCTATATCCAAATCTGTACCGATTTCACTATAATTTAGCAAATGTATGCTCATTTTAAATTCCGTTACACATTCTAAATTTCTTTGATATTAGATATATATAGCATGTTTGGCGCATCAAATACATGAAATCGGCCGAAAATGTATATGGGAGCTATATACAAATCTGAACCGATATCAATATAGTTTGGCAAACAATTTTTTAGAACAATTCTATCACACGTCCCAAAATTCATTGAAATGTGGCGTACACAGCGTGTTTAATGCATCAAATACATGAAATCGGCCGAAAATATATATGGCAGCTATAACCAAACCTGAACCGATTTCAATATAATGTAGGCAATTTATTTTTTTTCCAATTCAGTTACGAATTCCAGAAGTATATATACCCTATATATTCTTGACGATTAGGATCACATTTTGTAAAGGAATCATTTTGAATTCGGTATTTAGAGTTTGCAACGGGTTCGGAACTTTTTCTAGCAATTTAGAATTTTTCACAGATTTTTAATGGGTTCTACTTCTTGTGGAAAACAATTTTCTGTTTGGATATTCCGCATTTTAACGATTTAGATCACATTTTTTAATATTCGGTACTTACGAGTTTGTAACGGGTTCTACTTCCTGGGGCAGAACAGTGTCTATAAAGATCCACGTTTTCTTACATAAGTGTACCTCCCGAAAATAGGTGTTTAGACGATTTAGATCATATTTTCTAACAGAATTTATAGTTTGAAATTTGTTCCACTTTCAGTGACATGTTCCCTGATGTTCGGTGTTCTGATGATTTTAATCACATTCTTCGGCGGAATCGTTAGAAATTCGGTTTGCAGATTTTGTTATGAGTTCTATCTTCTGCAGCGGAAGACTATTGGAATAGGCTTATTATTTCTTTATAACTTATGTAATGTATACCTATATTTTATTATAGAATATTTTTCAATTGACAAATATTTTACAGTTGCTGATATTTTTAATATTTTAGATTCGAGTGATTTCAGCATTTTCACTCATATCCCTGTAACGATATAGACGACATCTGCTAAATCAAATTATTTTTGATGATTAGCGTGGAGAGGATTCCGTTGTAATACATTGATTGTCTGTGAGCAAATGACAAAAAGAATAGCTTTTCTAAATTACTGATAAGTAACTCCAGCATATCATAATTGATCAAACTGTAGGTAAGCCGGGTTTTTACATCTAAAAATAAACTAAACATGTCGTGGTTCTGAAAAGCTCCAGTCATTCGTCAGATCTGTATAACTCCAAAGAATGGACGCGACAAAAAAAATTGAAGTCTCCTTAAACCCCAATATTATTTCCCCCCGCTGCACGATTACGTGTTTGTGAAATATTTCAGATAAAAAAAAACTTCAAATTCATTGTCTGCCCACTATGATATATTTGACCTGTTACGGTTTCTAATGTTTCCTTTAATGGAATAAAAATCATTTATTTTATTATTTTAAATAATTCAATTGATTTTTATTTATTTGTTTTGTGTTTTATATAATGTAACTACATTCATACGTAAAGAAAAATATTTATTATTATTATTATTAATATACTTTTTAATTTAATATGAAATTATAATAATATTATTTTAAATTGGTTTTATAATTACAATGCCGTATAACAAACTATAGGTGTTTGTTTGCTAAAAAACATTTATGTATTAGATATATTGTATTAATTGCATATACATAGATAAATTTTGTATTTATAAAATAAGAAATAATAAACATATAGTTAATGCAAAAAACAAAGAAATGTGTATACTGTGAATAATAACCTAAAGAAATTATACATAAAATAATAATAAGTGGGAGATAAGTAACTTAATATAAATTAAAGAAAGCATATATAAAAAATGAAAAATATACGATATATAACACAACGAAGTTCAAAAATTATATTTTCATTTTAATAGATTCACTTTTCTTTGACATAACGAAAAGATTCATTTTTGTTGTTTGCCAAGGGAACTAAAAAGATTTATTTTTGTATAGTATTTAGAGTTTATCATTGGTTTAAGGAATTGTTTTAGTTTTGTGTTTTGTTCTTGTCGTTTTGTAAAAGAAAAATGCAAGATGCAATGCTTTTACATATATAAAATCATATTTTAAATTACAAAAGCATTGCCGAAACAAAGAAAGGAATTAACAAAATTACAGTTAAATCATAATTTTACAGATAAAGAGTTTATACAAAAATGTAGTTTCTTGTAGGAGATAATATTTTTTTTTTTAGCATTGAGTTCCAAAGTAAAAGAGATTTCATTTTTATAGAATTACAAATAAATTTTAAACTTTTATTTCTATGAAGAAAAAACTATTCCACTTCATATTATATAAACATAAACACAATTAAAGTTTGCGGATGTTTCTGTAGAAATCTGTAGAGGGTCTAACATTGGAAGGCATTGGAAAAATCCTTCAAAAAATAATTGTAATTTAAAAGAAAATCGAATTTTCTTGATAATTTCCAGACTATGAATAATTTATGAAAATATATTCCATAAAAAATGTTCATAATTTTAGTTTTATTTAGGAAAAAAGCACCTTAGTGTTTAAGAAATAAGTACATAAACTGTGCGTTGTTTCTCATCTCAGTTATTTCTCCTTAATTGAAAAATCTCTCTTTATACTCTCAATACATGAAAATGAAAGTACGGAAATCTTTTTTATTATAACAAATTCAATGCAAAAGGATTTGTCACTTAAACAGCTGGATGCTTCCTTTGCTGTCCCTTCTGTTTTCATAGAATTCGCTGTTTTTTTTTATTAAAATGTATTCCACTCTATGTACTTAATTCTGTTTTATTTTTTCGTTCTTAACATAATTTTTTTTTGTTTCTCTCCCTCTCTTGGTGTGCTTTTGTTTTAACAATCACTTTGTATTAAAGTATCACTGAGAGCAGCAATGATTTCCTCTCCCATTTTAATTTTATCGGCAATATCTCTTGAATCGGTAATAAGTTTGGCTTTCATATTAATAAAATAATCAAAATCGGCATATTCATCTGTAGTTAAATTCTTTTCCAGTAAAGTTTTGACACTAACCCCACGGCGATCAATGTCGGCCTTAAGGCGCTTGGCTTCGGTTAGTTGTTCCAAAAGGCGATCACGTTTGTTTTCCAAAGATTTCTGTAAACAAATGATAGAAAAGAAATTAGATAAAATTCATATCAAAATTGATAGAAAAGTAATTTATGTATTTAGAATTCGAATCAAATTTAAGAATATACATAAAAGTAAAGCCCAAAAGTAATTTTTATTCTATCTTTTATCAGAAACATTCTGCTTTCTCTTTCCCTTTAAACAAGTCTCTTTCAGAATCAACTCTGTGGACCATCAAACATCCTTTTTAAGTAGTTGCCATTCAGAAAAACTACGGGTCCATCAAACTAATTTAAAAAAAATATATACAATTTTTTTTGTAGAAATAAACAGCAGTTAATAAATTATATTAAAAGGATTATGGACTAAGAAAATATCGGTGTAAATTTTCGAATACAAATTAAAAACGCACATTCTGAATAAAAATATTGAGGACTTCATGGCGAATTTGATATGACCTTGGGAAGAAAAAAAATGTCCTGTGATTTTTGAATTTTATCCATCGAAAGATAAATGTATATCATCGGCTGGCTGGCTGGCATAGACATATATATATATAGACATAGACATATCCATTACCTTGATATGTCTATAACAAAACATGGACATGAAAGGCTTAATTCTTTTAAAGAAAACAATTGTTTGAGGGATAGATTTCAAAAAGGGCAAGCATGATTAAAACAATTCAAAGAAGTGGGAATCATTGAAATTTTTGTCAAAGTGATCGTTTTCTTAAGTTAGATCGATTATGAACGAAATAAAAGTTTATCTTAGTTGTATCTCAGATCTTTCAGACTATTTTCTATAACCAACACATCAACTGGAAATGTGCACATGACAGAATACATTTATACAAGCGCCTTGGCAGAATACACTATGATTCTATTCAACTGCCTTTGAGGGAATAGTATTTATATCATGAAAATGAATTTCTTCAAGATATATATTTTATATTTCTTTCTCAATTCGACTCTTAAATCGAGATCGAAAAAACTTTCTCGAAGATTTTTTTAAATTAAAAAATAACGACCCTTACCCTTTCCGTAGTATTATCACCCACAGCTGTTAGTTGATTTTCGGCACGGGCCAAACGTTCCGACAGAGATAACAACAGACCGGTAATATGGCCAATATCCGATATGTATGTACGACATTTCGATTCTTCAATGGGTCGTACTTTATCACCCAATTGATTGAGCAAACTATTGCCCAGATCATCATTGGCGGCGGATTCTTCGTCGATGGCAGCTTGTTCTTTACTTAAGATTCTCACTTTATTGCCTAGGTATTTAATTAATTCATCCTGCAAGTAAACGTAAAATAAATTTAACTTCGATGTAGACATCAATTATTTATCATACATACCACTTTATTCTTAAGGATATCACAGCTATCGGGAGCTATTTCAATTTCTGTCAATTTTAATTCCACAGTCAACTTGTCCTCATCTTTATCCTTCTTGGCATGATGATGTTGTTGACGCGTTAAGGTCGAGGTACCCACATCACGTTTACTGGGTCTTTGGCGTACATTGGGATTATACAGATTGCTGACATAGTCCTGACAAGTCTTGGTGCCGGGTGGACATAACAGTTGTATGAGCGCATCATTTGTGGGCAACAATGTGGCCAATTCTTTGGATAACTTTTCACATTCATCTTCAATGGGCAGGCGTTGGCGAGGTTGCAGAGTTGTTGTGCGATTTCCAGTTTCACTACTCTCCCTGCTGTTGTTCATGTCGGTGAGGGATTTCAATTCACTGTCGGTAATATCATCGGTTTGTGAGGCAGTTTCAACAGTATTAGGATTAACTCTCAGAATGATTTCGCTACGTTGCACCAGCTTTAGGCTATCTGTGCTGGAATCCAACTGGGAGAGTATGTGTTCGGCGGTGGCTTCCGATTTATTTTTACTTTCCTTCATGGCCTTTTCTTGTTCAATTTCATTTTCTTGTTCTTCTTTGCAGGTTTCATTCGATTTACTCTCCGATTCCTCTTCTGGCAATGGTGCTGGTGGTGGTGGAGGTGAACCTGAGGGTGTTGTTGTTGTAGCTATGCGAGTTTTATCCTCCATTATTTGCGAGGCATTTAGTTCCAAAGTTTTTGGTATATCAATCACATTGGCCTGAGCACTTCGATTGGAGTTAATGTGAGGCGACAGCGAGGATGTATAGCCATGACCCAGAAGGCTGTTATTATTATCGGTATTATGAGCTGACATCAGCTGTGATTGCAATTGACTAATCTTTTCAATGTTTTCCCTCAAAGATTCTTGGCGTATCACCGCCTTTTTGTTATTGTTGTTGTTCTGTGTGGCATTGCCATTTAACGTGGTATTGACCAATTCCGCTCTGAACAAAGAGGCCGACGAAGAGCAGGATGATGATGCCGATGATTCATGGTGATGATGATGTTGAAGATGATTACTGTTATTCAAGCTGGTGTTACTTATGCCGCTAGTGCTGCTATTCAATCTCTCTTCATGACTGGCACAACTCTCCGACAGAGAGCTCAACGATGAGAGTGATGAATTTTGATTATCCTTGAGACTTGTGCTTTCCAACATACTGCTGGCATTGACATTGGGATGTTCCTCAATGGTTGTGGCCATAAGTGTAGACTTCTTCAGGTCCAACGAAGACTGGGTCATATATTTGGTGGGACTCTGTACCGCTGATGTCTGGTTGGTATCATATGATTGAGATCGATTAAAATTGTTGTTCAAATTGAATGAACTCAATACGGGAGTAGAATAACGTTGTTGTGATGGCGGATATGCCGGATAACAGCTATTGTTGTTGCTGTTCATTGATTGTGGCCCATGATTTTGTGTGGTAGGTGATAATTGCTGTTGCGTTGAAGCTATGTTATTATTTGATCCGTAACGTAGTGAGGTTTGTGATCTCAATATTGAGGAATCGGCTGCGGATGGCTGCAATTTGGCATTCAGTGGCAATACGTCGGGCAAATTGCTAGGCAGTTTTGTTGTTTGTGTCTGTGTTTGTGCCATAATATCGTATGTGGATTTTGTGTTAGGGGTTGCGGTGGTGGTGTTACCACCCACCAAATCTTCATTTGAATGAAGTGTAAGCTTATAGCTGCCATGATCTGGATCCGAACTGGCTTGTTTTTCCAAGCTTTGTCGTGGTAAATATGATGCTTTGGAATTACATCTGAAAAGAGAGGAAAGAAGAGAACACAGAAATTAGTTAATTATATTAAAAATATTTATGAGAGGAATTTTTGAAACAAATGTTTTGAGAATAACTCGATTTGCTTTGAGTATCGGAAAGATACAATTTTTATACCCTCCATCATACTATGAGGGGTATATTAACTTTGTCATTCCGTTTGTAACTCCTCGAAATACTTATGATAGACCCAACAAAGTATTCGTATACTTTGATAGACCCAATTCGTTCCAAAGATATCGTGTTTAAAACAGACAGACGGACATCTGAATATATATATATATATATATATATATATATATATATATAAATTAATTCAATGTTAATTTATTTATTTTTTTAAAAATTTGTGATTGCTGCTTACTGCAAGCAATCACGTCTTTATTGGTTAAGGTTCCGGACTACAAAGTGAATAATGAAATAAAACTACCCTAACTTATACTTTGGATTCATGCACCCAGATGATACTGGACACCTGCTCGTGTTGGCGATGGAATGTTGCTGTCTGCCTGTTGGATGTTGTTGTCAGTGTTTCGGTGGGAACTGCAGTGTCAGCAAAATGACACGCTTATACTTTGGTTGATGAATTCTTTGGGTTGCTAATGTTGAATTTGAATATGTCTGGTGTTAACTCCTCCCCTCTTAAATACAATCGTCCCGATTGTTCAAAATGAATGAATATTGTAAATGCTGGATGTTTTAGTTTCTTTCGAAGTTGTAGGTAAATTTACTTCCGCAATCTCTATTTCATCTCCTGGGGCATCTTCGATTTTCAGATTATTATTTTCGGAGTTTTTTGCATATTTTCTTCTCAGTGATATTATTGTTATAGTTGTAAGGATTATTGCAGAAATACAACCGATGCCGACTGCTAAGGTACCTTTGGTTTCCATAGATCGTATTCGTTCGATGTTCTTTACGTTCAACTGTTTAAGCAGCTCCAATGATATTACTTCTTCTAATTTGTCTTTTGGACCTTTTGGTTGCAAAAAGGCGGGAAGAGGTTTATTGGCACTTATTCCTCTTGAACTGTAACTGTGGCCATCGATTCTTATAGTGACGTTGAAATGTTTGATGAGATAAGTCCCGTTTAAAAAAATCTGCTCGTTGTCTACACTGATAGCGCCTTGATATTGGTTCAGCAAGAGCAAGTCCGATCCGATCTCTTCAATTGTTGGTATGTGTTCGTTGTTTATTTGGGTGCATTTCCCTACTCTACTTTTGAACAAATTAGTTATACAATTATCATTTCTTAATGAAATAAGCTTATCTCTATTACAAATTGTTATGTCGTAATTACTTTTACATTCTGTTTTTATTCCAAATAATTCTTTATTACATTCCAAAATTTTTTCGTATTCAATTTTATCAATTACATCTCCAGTTTTTATAGGTTTTATGAAATATACTTTACAAACTTCTTCTTGAGTTACAGGGATACTAAGGATGTACAAAATTTCTCGTTTATTTGTAACAATTTTTACGGATCCAAAAGTTAATAGTTCATCTATCGAATAAGTAGGAATATTATATTTTTCAAAAACAGTGTTTATTTGATCGATTTCGATTTTAGAAAGCAGAAATGAATTGACGATATTAGCTTTAGCCCACTGTATTGCAAACTCTACGTTCTGTAACTCTTTTTCAATAAAATTAAGTTTTCTTTCGATTTTGAATACTACTTCATCGTTCCACCCTTCCCTTTTTATTATTTCATTCGTCTTATTAGTTATTTCAGTTATTCTTTCCGAAATTAATTGGTTTATTATCAGCTGTCTATTGTTATTTTCCAAAATATTGCCAATTTTCTGTTCTAGGATCTGAAAATCATGACTATCTGGACTGCCTGCAATCCACTTCCAAGCACTTCCTATGAAGTCTATCGATCTTTTCTCTCTGTGCGGCATCAGACGGTCTAATAGTCCATTGATGTCAATTAATTGTTGCTTCATAAATGGACGGAGAGGATGGTCTAGGTTCACGAATTTGTCTAGAATGTGTTCGGTTTCACGAGTGAGGTTTTCATACTGTTCAAGATCTATTGAATGAATTACTTTAAATGTCCCGTTCTGTTTCCTTGCTATTCCATTATGAATTGAAATGAGTCTTGCGTTCGAGTAGTCGAGGATGCTGAAGTCAGCCAGGGCGTTTCCAGGAAACAATCTGTAAAATTTTGGATTTTATTACTTTCTAATATGGCTTTTGTGAATAACCCTTCCGCTTTCGGTCAAAACGGTGGTATTCCGGTTTTCCTTAACTATTTCCTCTTTGTAACGGTCGCTTAGTTTCGTTCCTAACCTTTTGTTGTTGCTTACATAAATTAATTGTCCGGGAATATAATCCTTAACTGGTCGTTTCTTTTTGTTATGATACGTCAAGTCGTTGGCCTGTTTCTGTCTGAGTTTGTCAACAATATTCCGTCTGGTAGTCTCTATGTCTTGTGGAGAAAAGTCAATTGTGCGTCCAAAATACAAATCAACAGGTCTTCTATTCACCGTGGAGTGAATCGAGTGATTGTATTCATTAACAGCCCTCTCCAGTAATTCCTCAAAATTCCTGGATGTTCCATCACCTTTCAAACATCTCATTATCTCAGCGAGGGTAGAATGAAAGCGTTCTATCTGTCCGTTAGCCTCGCTCCTGTAGGATGGGGTCGTAAAAATATTTATTCCTAATTCGTCCTTCATCATGAATAATATCGAACTGGAATTTAAAGACGGTTCGTTGTCCATTACCACATTCTTCGGAACTCCGTAAGAGAATAATAATTCCCTCAGTGGTCTTCTAATAGCCTCAGTAGATCTTCCGTCTAGTATTTTCTCTTTAACGTACTTTGAGAATTTGTCAATGGAGGTCAGAACTAATTTCCTATCTGTAGAGAATATATCAATATGAATAGTATGACCTGGGTAATTTGGAATAGGCGTCTCACAAAGGTAAGGTTCATTGGGATGTCTCTCGTATTTGTTTTTCTTACACGTCGTGCACAGTTTTATAATTCGCTTTATTTTTCCCGAATCCCCGGAAAATAATAATTTTCCAAAATCTGTGTTTTGTTCTCTCTGTCGTTCCTATGGGCTCTATTGTGGGTATCAATAATTATTCTTTCCTGGTCATTTTCTGATAATATATCTTCTACTACCTTCTGAGTAAACCTGCATTTGTACTGGCTAAAATGGAGTGGATAAATGTTCTGAATTTTTCCCATTATTTGTTCTGGTGCCTTGATTCCGTTAATTACAGACGGGTTCAAATACCTCTTCAAGATTGTTTGAAGTTTTCGTTCGTCATAATGTGGTTCAGTAATTGTGTGTCGGTGGATGCTTGGGAAAACAACATTGAACTGGTACGTTGATGTGTCATCCACACTTATGAGAAGCTGGTTCTTGAAAACATTAATGGGTGACTCAACACTGGGTATAAGGGTCTCTGGTGAGCTCTCCGCACTATGCTGTGTGGGAGTCAGTGAATTAATCGGAGTAATAGCATTATTGTCCTTCTGTACCGTTCTAGACAGAGCATCTGCTACGACATTCTGTCTTCCGGGTTTGTACCGCAATTCGTAATTATATTCCTCCAGAGTACATTTCCAGCGTTTCATCTTCGCATTGCTATTTTTGTTACTAATGGCGTAAGTGAGGGGTTGGTGGTCGGTATAAATTATAACTTTCTTCGATCCGTATAGATAATTCCTCAAGGTAGTGAGGGCCCATATGATGGCCAACATTTCCCTCTCATTTGTGGCGTAATGCTCCTCTGTTTCATCCAGAGTTCTTGAAATGAATGCAATTGGTCTTCCCTTTTGACTCAACACTGCTCCAAGAGCGACACTGGAGGCATCCGTCGTTAGGTCAAAATCTTCTCTGAAATCTGGATACGCAAGTATCACATCGTTTGAAACCAATGCATTTCTTAGCTCGTTGAAAGCTTCTACGGCGGAAACATCTAATGTCACCGGAATTTGACTGGAAGCTGTCTTTGGAATTCTGCCTTCCTCCCCTCTGAGGAGCGATGTCAGCGGCTTTGCTACATCGGCATATCCCCTTACGAACCTTCGATAGTAGCCCGAGAGGCCAAGGAAAGAACGAAGTTCCTTAAGTGTCTTAGGAATCGGGAAATTAAGAATGGCTTCCACTTTCTTTGGGTTGGTTTTTATACCATCCCTCGACACAATAAATCCCAAAAATTCCACTTCTTGTTTAAAGAATGAACACTTGTCCAACTGGATCTTCATATTAGCGGACTCTAGTGTTTGGAAAACTTTCTTTATGTTCTCGGCGTGTGACTTCTCGTCCTTGCCAAAGATGATAATATCATCGATGTAAACAAAACAGATTTTTCCAATCAATTCTCTGAGTATATCGTCCAGCGTTCGCTGAAATATTGCTGGCGCGTTCCTCAGGCCAAATGGCAGTCTCGTGAACTCGTACTTGCCATTGTTGATTGAGAATGCGGTTTTCTGTCTATCCTCCTCCCGTAGGGGTATTTGATGGAAACCGCTTTTAAGATCAATGACCGTAAAATATTGATTCCCCCCTAGGTTAGATAGGACTTCCGTCACCTCGGGAATCGGATATTTATCCGGTATGGTGACGGCGTTGAGCTTTCTAAAGTCAACGACCAAACGATATTTTTTTCGACCAGAACTGTCCTCCTTTTTGGGCACTACCCAAATAGGGGAGTTGTACGGGGATCTGGATGGTCTTATGATGCCATCCCGAAGGAGACGACGAATCTCTTCCTCCACGACATCTTTTAATGCCATTGGGTAAGGATAACTTCGCGTATAGATTGGAGATTCGTTTTCAGTTCGGATTTCTCCAACCACAACAGAGGTGTATGTTAATCTCTCATCCGGATCTGAGAACAGGTTCCGGTGCTGCCTTGCAATATTATTGAGAGAACTCCTCTGACTTAATGATAGATGATCAGCCTCCAGCTCCAGACTATTAACATTCTGGGATATTCTCTGTCTAATGGCA